CCTTAAGTTGGAGTCGGTGCTATCTCAACCTTAAGTTAGGTCAATGTCACTATCTCAACCAAGTTAGGTCAGTGTCACTATATCAGCCTTAAGTTAGGTCAGTCCACTATCTCAACCTTAAGTTGGGTCAGTGCCACTATCTCAACCTTAAGTTAGGTCCAGTGCCACTATACAAGTTAGGTCGTGTCACTATCTCAGCTTAAGTTGGGTCAGTGCCTATCTCAACCCTTAAGAGAGGTCAGTGCACTATCAGCCTTAAGTTAGGTCAGTGCCACTATCTCAACCTTAAGTTGGGTCATTATACTATCAACCATAAGTTAGTCAGTGTCACTATCTCAACCTTAAGTTGGTCAGTGTCACTATCCCACCTTAAGTTAGGTCAGTGCCACTATCTCAACCTTAAGTTAAGTCAGTGCCACTATCTCATGCAGTTGGGTCAGTGCCACTATCTCAACCTTAGATTGGGCAGTGTCACTATCTCATAATTAGGTCAGTGCTTCCAATAGGGCAGGCTATCTCAACCTTAGTTGGGTCAGTGTCACTATCCAGCTTAAGTTAGGTCAGTGCTATCTCAACCTTAAGAGGTCAGTGCCACTATCTCAACCTTAAGTTAGGTCAGTGTCACTATCTCAACCTTAAGTTAGGTCAGTGCCACTATCTCACACCCAAGTTAGGTCAGTGTCACTATCTCAACCTTAAGTTAGGTCAGTGTCACTATCTCACTTGTAAGTTGGGTCAGTCCACTATCTCAACTTAAGTTAGGTCAGTGCCACTATCTCACCCCTTAGAGGTCAGTGTCACTATCTCAACCTTAAGTTAGGTCAGTTACTCACTCTCACCTTAAGGAGGTCAGTGCCACTATCTCAACCTTAAGTGGGTATCACTATCTCAACCTTAAGTTAGGTCAGTGCCACTATCTCAACCTTAAGTTAGGTCAGTGCCACTATCTCACCTTTAAAGGTCAGTACTATCTCAACCAAGTTAGGTTAGTGTCACTGTGTATAACAAAGTTAGGTCAGTGCACAATGTCAACCTTAAGTTAGATCAGTGTCACTGTGTCACAACTAAGTTGAGTCAGTGCCACTGTTTCAACCTTCTAGAGTCAGTGCCACTATCTCAACGCAGTTAGGGTCAGTGCCACTGTGTCAACCTTAAGTTAGGTGTTTTTCATGTCAACCTTAAGTTAGGTCAGTGCCACTGTTTCAGACCTAAGTTAGGTCAGTCACTGTTCAGCAACCAGTTAGGTCCAGTGCCACTGTGTCAACCTTAAGTTAGGTCAGTGCCACTATCTCAAGATTAAGTTAGGTCAGTGCCACTATCTCACCTTAGAGGTCAGTGCCACTATCTCATCATGGGGAGGTCAGTGCCTACCTCATGGTTAGAGTCAGTGCTATCTCAACCTTAAGAGGTCAGTGCACTATCTCACCTTAAGAGGTCCAGTACTATCTCAACCTTAAGAGAGGTCAGTGCCTTTTATCTCACCTTAAGAGGTCACTGCACTATCTCACCCTTAGAGAGGTCAGGTCCACTATCATGTCATAAGGGAGGTCAGTGCCACCTCATCGTTGAGGTCAGTACTACCTCATCCTTAAGAGGTCAGTGCCACTATCTCACCCTTAGAGTCAGTGCCACTATCTCAACCTTAAGAGAGTGTCACTATCTCACCCCTAAGAGAGGTCAATCCACATCTCAACCTTAAGTTAGAGTCAGTGCCACTGTGTCATATAGAGAGGTCAGTGCCACTATCTCACACTAAGTTGGGTCAGTGCCACTATCTCAACCTTAAGTTAGGTCAGTGCCCTCTCAACAAGTTGGAGGTCAGTGCCACTATCTCACCCCTTAGAGGTCAGTGCCACTATCTCAACCTTAAGTTAGGTCAGTGCCACTGTGTCAACCTTAAGTTAGGTCTGTGTCACTTCTGACAACCAAGTTAGGTAGTGTCACTGTGTCAACCTTAAGTTAGGTCAGTGCCACTGTTTCAACCTTAAGTTAGGTCAGTGCCACTATCTCAACGTTAAGTTAGGTCAGTGCCACTATCTCAACCTTAAGTTAGGTCCGTGCCACTGTTTCAACCTCCAAGTGGGTCAGTGCCACTGTTTCAACCTTAAGTTAGGTCAGTGCCACTGTTGTCAACCTTAAGTTAGGTCAGTGCCACTATCTCTCAACCTTAAGTTAGGTCAGTGCTGTTTCAACCTAAGTTAGGTTGTGCCACTGTTTCAACCTTAAGTGAGTCATGTTCACTAGTTAGGTCAGTGCCACTATCTCAACCTTAAGTTAGGTCAGTGCCACTGTGTCACCAAGTTAGGTCAGTGCCACTGTTTCAACCTTAAGCTAGGTCAGTGCACTGTTTCCAACAAGTTGGGCGTCAGTGCCACTGTTTCAACCTTAAGTTAGGTCAGTGCCACTATATCAACGTTAAGAGAGGTCAGTGCCACTGTTTCAACCTTAAGTTAGGTCAGTGCCACTATATCAACGTTAAGAGAGGTCAGTGCCACTGTTTCAACCTTAAGTTAGGTCAGTGCCACTATATCAACGTTAGAGAGGTCAGTGTCACTGTTTCAACCTTAAGTTAGGTCAGTACCACTATATCAACGTTAAGAGAGGTCAGTGCCACTGTTTCAGCAAGTTGGGTCAGTACCACTATATCAATGTTAAGAGGGTCAGTGCCACTACTCAACCTTAAGTTAGGTCAGTGCCACTATATCAACGTTAAGAGGTCAGTGCCACTGTTTCAACCCTAAGTTGAGTCAGTACCACTATATCAATGTTAAGAGAGTCAGTGCCACTGTTTCAACCTTATGTTAGGTCAGTGCCACTATATCAACGTTAGAGGTCAGTGTCACTGTTTCAACCTAAGTTAGGTCAGTGCCACTATATCAACGTTAAGAGGTCAGTGCCACTGTTTCAACCTTAAGTTGGGTCAGTGCCACTATATCAACAGTAGAGGTCAGTGCCTGTTTTCACTTAAGTTAGGTCCATACTCTTTCACACAAGTTAGGTCAGTGCCACTGTTTCAACCTTAAGTTAGGTCAGTGCCACTGTTTCAACCTTAAGTTAGGTCAGTGCCACTATATCAACGTTAAGAGAGGTCTGTGCCACTGTTTCAACCTTAAGTTAGGTCAGTGCTACTATAATCGTTAAGAGAGGTCAGTGCCTGTTTCAACCTTAAGTTAGGTCAGTGCCACTATATCAACGTTAAGAGAGGTCAGTGCCACTGTTTCAACCTTAAGTTAGGTCAGTACCACTATATCAATGTAAGAGAGGTCAGGTACTTGACCTTAAGTTAGGTCAGTGCCACTATATCAACGTTAAGAGAGGTGTCACTGTTCAGCCAAAGTTAGGTCAGTACCACTATATCAATGTTAGAGGTCAGTGCCACTGTTTCAACCTAAGTTAGGTCAGTGCCACTATATCAACGTTAAAGAGAGGTCAGTGCCACTGTTTCAACCTTAATTAGGTCAGTGCCTATATCAACGTTAAGAGGTCAGTGTCACTGTTTCAACCTTAAGTTAGGTCAGTGCCCTATATCAACGTTAAGAGGTCAGTGCTGTTTCAACCTAAGTTAGGTCAGTGCCACTATATCAACGTTAAGAGGTCAGTGTCACTGTTTCAACTTAAGTTAGGTCAGTGCCACTATATCAACGTTAAAGAGGTCAGTGTCACTGTTTCAACCTTAAGTTAGGTCAGTGCCACTATATCAAGTTAAGAGAGTCAGTGTCACTGTTTCAGCAACAAGTTAGGTCAGTGCCACTATATCAACGTTAAGAGGTTCACTGTTTCCACAAGTTAGGTCAGTGCCACTATATACAATTAAGAGGTCAGTGTCACTGTTTCAGCATTAAGTTGGGTCAGTGCCACTATATCAACGTTAAGAGAGGTCAGTGCCACTGTTTCAACCTTAAGTTAGGTCAGTGCCACTATATCAACGTTAAGAGAGGTCAGTGTCACTGTTTCAACCTTAAGTTAGGTCAGTGCCACTATATCAACGTTAAGAGAGGTCAGTGCCACTGTTTCAACCTTAAGTTAGGTCAGTGCCACTATATCAACGTTAAGAGAGGTCAGTGTCACTGTTTCAACCTTAAGTTAGGTCAGTGCCACTATATCAACGTTAAGAGAGGTCAGTGCCACTGTTTCAACTACAAGTTAGGTCAGTGCCACTATATCAACGTTAAAGAGGTCAGTCCACTGTTTCAACCTTAAGTTAGGTCAGTGCCACTATATCAACGTTAGGGTCAGTGCCACTGTTTCAACCTTAAGTTAGGTCAGTGCCACTATATCAACGTTAAGAGAGGTCAGTGCCACTGTTTCAACCTTAAGTTAGGTCAGTGCCACTATATCAACCTTAAGAGAGGTCAGTGCCACAGGGTTCAAGTGAAGCTGTACAGTAGATGTTACCCTCACTTATCACTTAACTCACTTTATACGACTACAGCATTACTTAAGACTGTATATTCACCTCTCTTAAGTGTGTCTGTGAGTCACTTGACACTTATAGGCTGTAGGAACCACTTATCTCCTCATTGTAAGTGTTTCTCTTCACGTTAAGTAATGACCGTGTCCCACCACTTCGTTCATGGCTGCTGTTCCTTAATTAACACAACGACTACCACTTTCGCCTATGACAGGCCACTTTCCACTTAAATCTATGACTGCCACTTTCCACTTAAGGCCGTCACTGCCACTGTCCACTGAAACACATGACTGCCACTTTCCGCTTAATTACATGGCTGCCACTTTCCACTTAATTACATGGCTGCCACTTTCCACTTAAGCCTACGACAGCCACTTTCCACTTAAACCCATGACTACCACTTTCCACTTAATGCCATAACAGCCACTTTCCACTTAATGCCATAACAGCCACTTTCAACTTAATGCCATGACTACCACTTTCCACTTAATGCCATGACTACCACTTTCAACTTAATGCCATGACTGCCACTTTCCATTTTAACCTATGACTGCCTCTTTCCACTGTGTCAACTGGCTGTTTCTTGTAGGGTTCGACTGGGGTTTACACTTCCGTTGGGTTCCTCTGACGGATGAAGAGAAGGCAGCCAGAGTGGACCCTACCGCCGTGTACAGGTGAGACTCATCCCGTGTACAGGTGAGACTCATCCCGCGTACAGGTGAGACTCATCCGGTGTACAGGTAAGACTCATCCCGTGTACAGGTGAGACTCATCCCGTGTACAGGTAAGACTCATCCCGTGTACAGGTAAGACTCATCCGTGTACAGGTAAGACTCATCCGTGTACAGGTAAGACTCATCCCGTGTACAGGTGAGACTCATCCCGTGTACAGGTGAGACTCATCCCGTGTACAGGTGAGACTCATCCGTATACAGGTGAGACTCATCCGTGTACAGGTGAGACTCATCCGTGTACAGGTGAGACTCATCCCGTGTACAGGTGAGACTCATCGTGTACAGGTGAGACTCATCCCGTAACAGGTGAGACTCATCCCGTGTACAGGTAAGACTCATCCGTATACAGGTGAGACTCATCCCGTGTAGGTGAGACTCATCCCGTGTACAGGTGAGACTCATCCCGTGTACAGGTGAGACTCATCCGTGTACAGGTGAGACTCATCCCGTGTACAGGTGAGACTCATCCCGTGTACAGGTGAGACTCATCCGTGTACAGGTGAGACTCATCCGTGTACAGGTGAGACTCATCCCGTGTACAGGTGAGACTCATCCCGTGTACAGGTGAGACTCATCCGTGTACAGGTAAGACTCATCGTGTACAGGTAAGACTCATCCCGTGTACAAGTGAAACTCATCCTCCGTGTACAGGTGAGACTCATCCCGTGTACAGGTGAGACTCATCCGTGTACAGGTGAGACTCATCCCGTGTACAGGTAAGACTCATCCGTGTACAAGTGAGACTCATCCTCCGTGTACAGGTGTGTGTGAGAGAGAGAGAGAGAGAGAGAGAGATTAACGCCTAGCACCCCCTCTTCCCGCAGGTCACCAGCCGTGGCAGGAGGACTCTTCCTCATCTCCGCACCTGGTGGCAGCAGCTGGGGAGTATGACCCAGGACTCTGTGTGGGGCGCAGAGGGGTCAGGTGTGTTGGAGGAGGTGGGGTCAACAGACACACTGGGTGAGTGTGTTGGAGGAGGTGGGGTCAACAGACATACTGGGTGAGTGTGTTGAGGTGGGGTCAACAGACACAACTGGGTGAGTGTGTTGGAGGAGGTGGGGTCAACAGACACACTGGGTGAGGTGTGTTGCGGGAGGTGGGGTCAACAGACACACTGGGTGAGTGTGTTGGAGGAGGTGGGGTCAACAGACACACTGGGTGAGTGTGTTGGAGGAGGTGGGGTCAACACACACTGGGTGAGTGTCTTGGGGAGGTGGGGTCAACAGACACACTGGGTGAGTGTCTTGGGGAGGTGGGGTCAACAGACACACTGGGTGAGTGTCTTGGGGAGGTGGGATCAACAGACACACTGGGTGAGTGTCTTGGGGAGGTGGGGTCACAGACACACTGGGAGGCAACACCTGGGAGTGTTGGGAGGTGCACACTGGGTGGTCTGAGGGGTCACAGACACACTGGGTGAGTGTCTTGGGGAGGTGGGGTCAACAGACACACTGGGTGAGAGTGTCTTGGGGAGGTGGGGTCAACAGACACACTGGGTGAGTGTCTTGGGGAGGTGGGGTCAACAGACACACTGGGTGAGTGTCTTGGGAGGTGGGGTCAACAGACACACTGGGTGAGTGTCTTGGGGAGGTGGGGTCAACAGACACACTGGGTGAGTGTCTTGGGAGGTGGGATCAACAGACACACTGGGTGAGTGTCTTGGGGAGGTGGGGTCAACAGACACACTGGGTGAGTGTCTTGGGGAGGTGGGATCAACAGACACACTGGGTGAGTGTCTTGGGGAGGTGGGGTCACCAGACACACTGGGTGAGTGTCTTGGGGAGGTGGGGTCAACAGACACACTGGGTGAGTGTCTTGGGGAGGTGGGGTCAACAGACACACTGGGTGAGTGTCTTGGGGAGGTGGGGTCAACAGACACACTGGGTGAGTGTCTTGGGGGAGGTGGGGTCAACAGACACACTGGGTGAGTGTCTTGGGGAGGTGGGGTCAACAGACACACTGGGTGAGTGTCTTGGGGAGGTGGGGTCAACAGACACACTGGGTGAGTGTCTTGGGGAGGGGTCAACAGACACACTGGGTGAGTGTCTTGGGAGGTGGGGTCAACACACACTGGGTGAGTGTCTTGGGGAGGTGGGGTCAACAGACACACTGGGTGAGTGTCTTGGGGGAGGTGGGGTCAACAGACACACTGGGTGGAGTGTCTTGGGGAGGTGGGGTCAACAGACACACTGGGTGAGTGTCTTGGGGAGGTGGGTCAACAGACACACTGGGTGAGTGTCTTGGGGAGGTGGGGTCAACAGACACACTGGGTGAGTGTCTTGGGGAGGTGGGATCAACAGACACACTGGGTGAGTGTCTTGGGGAGGTGGGGTCAACAGACACACTGGGTGAGTGTCTTGGGGAGGTGGGGTCAACACACACTGGGTGAGTGTCTTGGGGAGGTGGTCACAGACACACTGGGTGAGTGTGTTGGGGAGGTGGGTCAACACACACTGGGTGAGTGTCTGGGGAGGTGGGTTAACAGACACTGGGTGAGTGTCTTGGGAGGTGGGGTCAACAGACACACTGGGTGAGTGTCTTGGGGAGGTGGGGTCAACAGACACACTGGGTGAGTGTCTTGGGGAGGTGGGGGTCAACAGACACTGGGTGAGTGTCTTGGGGAGGGGGTCAACAGACACACTGGGTGAGTGTCTTGGGGAGGTGGGGTCAACAGACACACTGGGTGAGTGTCTTGGGGAGGTGGGGTCAACAGACACACTGGGTGATGTCTTGGGGAGGTGGGGTCAACAGACACACTGGGTGAGTGTCTTGGGGAGGTGGGGTCAACAGACACACTGGGTGAGTGTCTTGGGGAGGTGGGGTCAACAGACACACTGGGTGAGTGTCTTGGGGAGGTGGGATCAACAGACACACTGGGTGAGTGTCTTGGGGAGGTGGGGTCAACAGACACACTGGGTGAGTGTCTTGGGGAGTGGGGTCAACAGACACACTGGGTGAGTGTCTTGGGGGATGTGGGGTCAACAGACACACTGGGTGAGTGTCTTAGGGAAGTGGGGTCAACAGACACACTGGGTGAGTGTCTTGGGGAGGTGGGGTCAACAGACACACTGGGTGAGTGTCTTGGGGAGGTGGGGTCAACAGACACACTGGGTGAGTGTCTTGGGGAGGTGGGGTCAACAGACACTGGTGAGTGTCTTGGGAGGTGGGGTCAACAGACACACTGGGTGAGTGTCTTGGGGAGGTGGGGTCAACAGACACACTGGGTGAGTGTCTTGGGAGGTGGGGTCAACAGACACACTGGGTGAGTGTCTTGGGGAGGTGGGGTCAACAAACACACTGGGTGAGTGTCTTGGGGAGGTGGGGTCAACAGACACACTGGGTGAGTGTCTTGGGGAGGTGGGGTCCAACACACACTGGGTGAGTGTCTTGGGGGATGTGGGTCAACAGACACACTGGGTGAGTGTCTTGGGGAGGTGGGGTCAACAGACACACTGGGTGAGTGTCTTGGGGAGGTGGGGTCAACAGACACACTGGGTGAGTGTCTTGGGGAGGTGGGGTCAACACACTGGGTGAGTGTCTTGGGGAGGTGGGGTCAACAGACACACTGGGTGAGTGTCTTGGGGGAGGTGGGGTCAACAGACACACTGGGTGAGTGTCTTGGGGAGGTGGGGTCAACAGACACACTGGGATATTGACCCATTATAAAATAAGATGATTATTTTTAACCAATAAATGCATTAAGATAAATTTGTTAAGAATGTTTTTTTCAGCCAATCAAAACACGAGATTTACTTTGTATTTTAGTCCTTATTCCTTCTTTATTATACATATTTTATTGTGTATTGATTATTTGTCTTCCCTTTCATTCCCTCAGTTATACTTTGAAATCTCTCTCTCTCTCTCTCTCTCTCTCTCTCTCTCTCTCTCTCTCTCTCTCTCTCTCTCTCTCCACTAATAACCATACCTGTGTTGTGGTGGTGTGGCAGAGATGTCGTTCAAGTCATGGCAGTGTGGAGGCAGTGTGGAGGTGGCGCCCTGCAGTCGTGTTGGTCACATCTTCCGTAAGCGTCACCCCTACTCCTTTCCTGAGGGCAATGCAAACACATATCTCAGGTTAGTTGGCGTTATAATGTATTACTGAGCTTCAACAACTAAGGTCTTGTTATAATGTATTACTGAGCTTCAACAACTAAGGTCTTGTTGATGTTATAATGTATTACTGAGCTTCAAATAAATCAAGGCTCCCAGCATGCTATAATGTACACATTGAGCTTCAACAACCAAGGTCTTGTTGATGTTATAATGTATTACTGAGCTTCAACAACCAAGGTCTTGTTCATGTTATAATGTATTACTGAGCTTCAACAATCAAGGTCTTGTTAATGTTATAATGTATTATTGAGCTTCAACAACAAAGGTCTTGTTGATGTTATAATGTATTACTGAGCTCAAATAACTAAGGCCTTGTTGATGTTATAATGTATTACTTTCGAGCTCAAATAACTAAGGTTCCAATGATGTTATAATGTATTACTGAGCTTCAGTCAACTACAGTCTTGTTGATGTTATAATGTATTACTGTGCTTCAACAACTAAGGTCTTGTTGATGTTATAATGTATTACTGAGCTTCAACAACTAAGGTCTTGTTGATGTTATAATGTATTACTGAGCTTCAACAACTAAGGTCTTGTTGATGTTATAATGTATTACTGAGCTTCAACAACTAAGGTCTTGTTGATATTATAATGTATTACTGAGCTTCAACAACTAAGGTCTTGTTGATGTTATAATGTATTACTGAGCTTCAACAACTAAGGTCTTGTTGATGTTACAATGTATTACTGAGCTTCAACAACTAAGGTCTTGTTGATGTTATAATGTATTACTGAGCTTCAACAACTAAGGTCTTGTTGATGTTATAATGTATTACTGAGCTTCAACAACTAAGGTCTCGTTGATGTTATAATGTATTACTGAGCTTCAACAACTAAGGCCTTGTTGATGTTATAATGTATTACTGAGCTTCAACAACTAAGGTCTTGTTGATGTTATAATGTATTACTGAGCTTCAACAACTAAGGTCTTGTTGATGTTATAATGTATTACTGAGCTTCAACAACTAAGGTCTTGATGTTATAATGTATTACTGTGCTTCAACAACTAAGGTCTTGTTGATGTTATAATGTATTACTGAGCTTCAACAACTAAGGTCTTGTTGATGTTATAATGTATTACTGAGCTTCAACAACTAAGGTCTTGTGTAATGTTATAATGTATTACTGAGCTTCAACAACTAAGGTCTTGTTGATGTTATAATGTATTATGAGCTCAACAAACTTGTTGATGTTATAATGTATTATTGAGCTTCAACAACTAAGGCCTTGTTGATGTTATAAATAACTGAGCTTCAACAACTAAGGTCTTGTTGATGTTATAATGTATTACTGAGCTTCAACAACTAAGGTCTTGTTGATGTTATAATGTATTACTGTGCTTCAACAACTAAGGTCTTGTTGATGTTATAATGTATTACTGAGCTTCAATAACTAAGGTCTTGTTGATGTTATAATGTATTACTGAGCTTCAATAACTAAGGTCTTGTTGATGTTATAATGTATTACTGAGCTTCAATAACTAAGGTCTTGTTGATGTTATAATGTATTACTGAGCTTCAAAAACTAAGGTCTTGTTGATGTTATAATGTATTACTGAGCTTCAACAACTAAGGTCTTGTTGATGTTATAATGTATTACTGAACTTCAAAAACTAAGGTCTTGTTGATGTTATAATGTATTACTGAGCTTCAACAACTAAGGTCTTGTTGATGTTATAATGTATTACTGAGCTTCAACAACTAAGGTCTTGTTGATGTTATAATGTATTACTGTGCTTCAACAACTAAGGTCTTGTTGATGTTATAATGTATTACTGAGCTTCAATAACTAAGGTCTTGTTGATGTTATAATGTATCACTGAGCTTCAACAACCAAGGTCTTGTTGATGTTATAATGTATCACTGAGCTTCAACAACTAAGGTCTTGTTGATGTTATAATGTATTACTGAGCTTCAACAACTAAGGTCTTGTTGATGTTATAATGTATTACTGAGCTTCAACAACTAAGGTCTTGTTGATGTTATAATGTATTACTGAGCTTCAACAACTAAGGTCTTGTTGATGTTATAATGTATCACTGAGCTTCAACAACTAAGGTCTTGTTGATGTTATAATGTATCACTGAGCTTCAACAACTAAGGTCTTGTTGATGTTATAATGTATTACTGAGCTTCAACAACTAAGGTCTTGTTGATGTTATAATGTGTTACTGAGCTTCAACAACTAAGGTCTTGTTGATGTTATAATGTATCACTGAGCTTCAACAACTAAGGTCTTGTTGATGTTATATGTATTACTGAGCTTCAACAACTAAGGTCTTGTTGATGTTATAATGTATTACTGAGCTTCAACAACTAAGGTCTTGTTCATGTTATAATGTATTACTGAGCTTCAACAACTATGGTCTTCCTGATATTATAATGTATTACTGAGCTTCAACAACCAAGGTCTTGTTGATGTTATAATGTATTACTGAGCTTCAACAACCAAGGTCTTGTTGATGTTATAATGTATTACTGAGCTTCAACAACTAAGGTCTTGTTGATGTTATAATGTATTACTTAGCTTCAACAACTAAGGTCTTGTTGATGTTGTAATGTATTACTGAGCTTCAACAACTAAGGTCTTGTTGATGTTATAATGTATTACTTAGCTTCAACAACTAAGGTCTTGTTCATGTTATTATGTATTACTGAGCTTCAACAACTAAGGTCTTGTTGAAGTTATAATGTATTACTTAGCTTCAACAACTAAGGCCTTGTTGATGTTATATTATATTACTGAGCTTCAACAACCAACGTCTTGTTGATGTTATAATGTATTACTGAGCTTCAACAACTAAGGTCTTGTTGATGTTATAATGTATTACTGAGCTTCAACAACTAAGGTCTTGTTGATGTTATAATGTATTACTGAGCTTCAACAACTAAGGTCTTGTTCATGTTATAATGTATTACTGAGCTTCAACAACCAAGGTCTTGTTGATGTTATAATGTATTACTGAGCTTCAACAACTAAGGTCTTGTTCATGTTATAATGTATTACTGAGCTTCAGCAACTAAGGTCTTGTTGATGTTATAATGTATTACTGAGCTTCAACAACTAAGGTCTTGTTGATGTTATAATGTATAACTGAGCTTCAACAACTAGGGTCTTGTTGATGTTATAATGTATTACTGAGCTTCAACAACCAAGGTCTTGTTGATGTTATAATGTATTACTGAGCTTCAACAACTAAGGTCTTGTTGATGTTATAATGTATTACTGAGCTTCAACAACTAAGGCCTTGTTGATGTTATATTGTATTACTGAGCTTCAACAACCAAGGTCTTGTTGATGTTATAATGTATTACTGAGCTTCAACAACTAAGGTCTTGTTGATGTTATAATGTATTACTTAGCTTCAACAACTAAGGCCTTGTTGATGTTATATTGTATTACTGAGCTTCAACAACCAAGGTCTTGTTGATGTTATAATGTATTACTGAGCTTCAACAACTAAGGTCTTGTTGATGTTATAATGTATTACTTAGCTTCAACAACTAAGGTCTTGTTGATGTTGTAATGTATTACTGAGCTTCAACAACTAAGGTCTTGTTGATGTTATAATGTATTACTTAGCTTCAACAACTAAGGTCTTGTTCATGTTATTATGTATTACTGAGCTTCAACAACTAAGGTCTTGTTGATGTTATAATGTATTACTTAGCTTCAACAACTAAGGCCTTGTTGATGTTATATTATATTACTGAGCTTCAACAACCAACGTCTTGTTGATGTTATAATGTATTACTGAGCTTCAACAACTAAGGTCTTGTTGATGTTATAATGTATTACTGAGCTTCAACAACTAAGGTCTTGTTGATGTTATAATGTATTACTGCGCTTCAACAACTAAGGTCTTGTTCATGTTATAATGTATTACTGAGCTTCAACAACCAAGGTCTTGTTGATGTTATAATGTATTACTGAGCTTCAACAACTAAGGTCTTGTTCATGTTATAATGTATTACTGAGCTTCAACAACTAAGGTCTTGTTGATGTTATAATGTATTACTGAGCTTCAACAACCAAGGTCTTGTTGATGTTATAATGTATTACTGAGCTTCAACAACTATGGTCTTCCTGATATTATATTGTATTACTGAGCTTCAACAACTAGGGTCTTTATAGGTGCTGAACGCTGACAGGTGTTAAGACAGGTGTTAACAGTGTGATCGCCCCTACAGGAACTCCCGGCGTGTGGCGGAGGTGTGGCTAGACGAGTTCATTCACTTCTTTTACGAGACAAGACCCAGCGCCCTCCAGCGACCATACGGCGAGTGAGTTTATGATGCCTTCATGTGTACAGACTGACTGACAGACAGACAGATAGATAAGAAAGATAAAATAGATAGATTAGATAGATAGATACTCAGTAAAATCAGTGTATAAGTTCATATTGATTTAACATTTACAGCCATCTCCCTAATTAAAGGTGATGAAGGCCTCCTTCAGCACTGGAAAGAGCACTACCATTCATTGCTCAACCGAAACACCGATGTGGATGTCCTGACTACCCAGCAGGTCCCTCATCATCCAGAGCTGACCCATCTCAGCTATCCTCCATCCCTGTATGAGGTAGCTACTGCTATCAAACAGATGAAAAATAACAAAGCCTCAGGGCCTGATGGAATCCCAGCCGAGGTGTATAAAGCATGAAGACCTCTGCTTACCAGCCGTCTCCACTCTCTCCTGTTGAATATATGGGAAAAGGAGGAAATCCCCTAATCTCTTAAAGACGCCTCCGTCGTCAATATTTATAAGAACAAGGGAGACCGGTCAGACAGTGGCAACTACAGTGGGATCTCGCTGCTATCCGTGGCTGGCAAGATTATCGCCTGAGTCTTCCTAAACAGACTTCTTCCTGAGGCAGAAAACTTTCTTCCAGAATCTCAATGTGGCTTTAGAGTTTAGATCATCACGTGGCACCACTGACATGATCTTTGCTGCCTGCCAGATACAGCAAAAGTGCGAACAGCATCGTGACCTGCACATGAATTTCATCGACCTAACCAAGGCCTTTGACTCGGTCAACAGGGAAGCCTCTGGTGGACCCTCAGCCGTTTTCCCACCAAATTCATTGCCATTGTGAGGCAATTCCATGATGGCATGAACGGCAGTGTCCTGCACAATGGCACCCAGTCTGAGTTCTTCCCCATCCAAACGGGGGTAAAACAAGCATGTGTACTGGCACCAACTCTCTTTTCAACTTTCTTAGCTGCGTCCCTGACTCATGCCAGCGCCAATTTAGCCGGTGGGGTGGACATCCAGTACCGGATGAAGGGTCTTTTCATAAGACGACTCCAGGCAGGAACAAAGGTGTCGGCAGCCATTACTGAACTTCAGTATGCAGAAGGACCTCACCCTTGTCGCTCACACTGAACGCGACCTGCAGGAGATCCTGAACACCTATGGCAGATGCGTATGCACACTTCGGACTTGAGGTGAATGTATGTAAGACTCAGATTCTCTTTCATTCTGCCCCTGGCTCAGCCACACCTCCACCATCCATCTAGCTTAACAGTACTACCCTCTCTAATATTACCCACTTTCGGTATCTCGGCTCCCACCTGTCCACTACTGCAGACATTGGATCAGACGTACAGTCAGCCAAAGATGCACCGACCCCACCCTGGATCTCGTACTGGCAATTTTACCTGGCAATACCGGTAAAGTAAGGCTGTATGTAAAGGTGATTGTGATTGGTGGATCTGTTTTCTACTGTATCACTGTCAGGATAAATATTAAACAAACCAAAGGGAGAATTTTTATAATAATAAACTATTCATTGTTATTTAAGGTCATGAGAAGTTACCAAATGTTCGTATATTTGTTTAAATAATGAAAAAAAATTGATGAAAATCTTTTGGCAGCTGTGGTTGTAGTGAGTTGCCAATTCATTAATATATTTCTCTGTATTTAAACAAATATACGACCAATAACTCTCATGACATATAAAAACTATTTATTTAATATTTATCTGACATTGAAACAGAAAAATCCAGCACACAATCACTACATACAGCCTTACTACCAGCTACCAAACAAAACAATCCAGAACAGGCTCGAATGCATCTTTAACTCTACATCTCGTCTGGCGGACTCCGAAGCCGTATCTTTAGCTGTAGGGAGCTGAAATTATCTACAAAGTTACACGTATATCGAACAATGGTCCTCCCCACCCTGCTATATGGCAGCGAGACATGGGTCACATACAGGAGGCACCTCAAGGCACTTGAAAACTTTCACCAACTTAGTCTATGATCCATCCTCCAAGTTCGCTGGAAAGACAAGAGAACAAATGCCAGTATTCTTGCTGACACCAACTGTAGAAACATCGAGGCTACCATTATCCATGAACAACTACCCTAGACTGGCCATGTTACCCCTGGACAACAGTGGACAGCCAAAGCAGCTACTTTACAGTCACCTAACGAATAGTAAACGTAACCCTGGTGCCCAACTGAAAAGGTATAAGGATAGTCTTAAGACAAACCTGAAAACGTGCCGAATTGACTCCCTCACCTGGGAGACGATTACTCCACCGTAACACTCGGAGGAGCACCACACAGGTGTGAATACTTTCGAATTAGCCCTTCTACATAACAGGGCAGACAAGCGCCAACGCCGAAAAGACGCTGCCGCCGCCCCTCCCTCACTATATGTAGCCCCCACAGGTACAACATCTGTGAACGACCCTGCCGGTCCCATAACGGCCTCTTTAGTCAACTCACCAACGTAGGTGACATCCTTAATAACTCATATCATTGTATCATAGCTGGATGATCGTCATTCTCGATTCGGTGACAGCAAAGTATTAGTAGTAATATAACCCCTGGTGTTATTGTATAACCCCTAGTGTGTGTATAACCCCTGGTGTGTGTATAACCCCTGGTGTGTGTATAACCCCTGGTGTGTGTATAACCCCTGGTGTGTGTATAACCCCTGATTGTGTATAGCCCTGGTGTGTGTATAACCCTGGTGTGTATAACCCCTGGTGTGTGTATAACCCTGAATTTATTGTGTATAACCCCTGGTGCTAACCCCTGGTGTGTTATAACCCCTGGTGTGCTAACCCCTGAGTATTATTGTATAACCCCTCATGTATGTATAACCCTGGTGTGTGTGTATAACCCCTGGTGTGTGTATAACCCCTGGTGTGTGTATAACCCCTGGTGTGTGTATAACCCCTGAATGTGTGTATAACCCCTGGTGTGTGTATAACCCCTGGTGTGTGTGTGTAACCCCTGGTGTGTGTGTATAACCCACAATTGTGTGTATAACCCCTGGTGTGTGTATAACCCCTGGTGTGTGTATAACCCCTGGTGTGTGTATAACCCCTGGTGTGTGTATAACCCCTGGTGTGTGTATAACCCCTGGTGTGTGTATAACCCTGGTGTGTGTATAACCCTAGTGTGTGTATAACCCCTGGTGTGTGTAACCCCTGGTGTGTGTATAACCCCTGGTGTGTGTATAACCCCTGGTGTGTGTATAACCCCTGGTGTGTATAACCACTGGTGTGTGTATAACCCCTGGTGTGTGTATAACCCCTGGTGTGTGTATAACCCTGGTGTGTGTATAACCCCTGGTGTGTATATAACCCCTGGTGTGTGTATAACCCCTGGTGTGTGTATAACCCCTGGTGTGTATAACCCCTAGTGTGTGTATAACCCCTAGTGTGTGTATAACCCCTCATGTATGTATAACCCCTGGTGTGTGTATAACCCCTAGTGTGTGTATAACCCTGGTGTGTGTATAACCCCTAGTGTGTGTATCACCCCTGGTGTGTGTATAACCCCTGGTGTGTGTATAACCCCTGGTGTGTATAACCCCTGGTGTGTGTATAACCCTGGTGTGTGTATAACCCCTGGTGTGTGTATAACCACTGGTGTGGTAGTATAACCCTGGTGTGTGTATAACCCCTGGTGTGTGTATAACCACTGGTGTGTGTATAACCCCTGGTGTGTGTATAACCACTGGTGTGTGAATAACCCCTGGTGTGTGTGTGTATAACCCCTAATTGTGTGTGTATAACCACTGGTGTGTATAACCCCTGGTGTGTGTGTATAGCCAGGTGTGTGTGTATAACCACTGGTGTGTGTATAATAACCCCTGGTGTGTGTATAACCCCTGAATTGTGTGTGTATAGCCTGGTGTGTGTACTAGCCACTGAGGGTGTGTGAATAACCCTGGTGTGTGTAGTATAGCTAGTGTGTGTGTATAGCCACTGGTGTGTATAACCCTGGTGTGTGTGTATAACCCTAGTGTGTGTGTACATAACCACTGGGTGTGTGTATAACCCCTGGTGTGTGTATAGCCCTAGTGTGTGTATAACCCCTGGTGTGTGTATAACCCTGGTGTGTGTATAACCCTAGTGTGTGTATAACCCCTCATGTATGTATAACCCTGGTGTGGTAGCCGCATAACCCCTGAATTGTGTGTATAACCCCTGGTGTGTGTATAACCCACAGATTGTGTGTGTATAACCCCTAGTGTGTGTATAACCCCTGGTGTGTGTATAACCCCTGGTATTGTGTATAACCCTGGTGTGTGTAACCCCTGGTGTGTGTATAACCCCTGGTGTGTGTATAACCCCTAGTGTGTGTATAACCCCTGGGTGTGTGTATAACCCCTGGTGTGTGTATAACCCCTAGTGTGTGTATAACCCCTCATGTATGTATAACCCCTGGTGTGTGTATAACCCCTAGTGTGTGTACTTAACCCCTGGTGTGTGTATAACCCCTGGTGTGTGTATAACCCTGGTGTGTGTATAACCCCTGGTGTGTGTGTAACCCTAGTGTGTGTGTATAACCCCTGGTGTGTGAATAACCCCTGGTGTGTGTGCCAACCCCTGGTGTGTGTATAACCCCTAGTATGCCAGCTGGTGTGTGTATAACCCCTGGTGTAGTGTATAACCCCTGGTGTGTGTATAACCCCTGGTGTGTGTGTATAACCCCTAGTGTGTGTGTATAACCCCTGGTGTGTGTATAACCCTGGTGTGTATAACCCCTAGTGTGTGTATAACCCTCATGTATGTATAACCCTGGTGTGTGTATAACCCCTAGTGTGTGTGTATAACCCCTGGTGTGTGTATAACCACTGGTGTGTGTATAACCCCTGGTGTGTGTGTATAACCCCTGGTGTGTATAACCCCTAGTGTGTGTGTGTATAACCCTGGTGTGTGTATAACCCCTGGTGTGTGTATAACCCTGGTGTGTGTATAACCACTGGTGTGTGTATAACCCCTGGTGTGTATGACCCCTGGTGTGTGTGTGTAACC